ATGGCAACGGGTTTAGTTTTGGATTTTTTTTTTAAGGCTTACCTGGTAATATTCAAATGAGTGAAACATGGAGGGTAGAGGAAATTTGAAGCAACCCAGACATTGGGTAGGAATGGTCCAATCAGGACTGGGACTAGGTGAGGCAATCAAGGTGCCTAGGGTACAAATATTGAACATGGCACTCACTCTCAGGGTCCTTCAAATGCAGGTCAGCATTTGCACAGACTTGCCTCCCTAAAGTTTGCACATTAAGTGCCTGGCTTGCTTGCCTTAGTCTCAGCCTTGAGTTCAATCACAAAAGACTTTTTCTTGACTAATAATCAAGGGCAAATGAAACTGATTCCACTTGCAAATATTAGGATGCCAAAGACGGCAGAACATGTCACTTACCTTTATCTTTTATGTTGATTGTAACCCGGACTTTGTTGTGCTCCTCCACAAGATTGTGCAGGTTAACTGATTGCTGCCAATTGAAAGTCAATGTTTAAATATTAGATAGCTCATATATGAAAACACATGATCTCAAAATAGTAAATGCCAAGCCTGCTGTCACAGGCAAACTTGTTCTGGACAAATGACTCGTCTTCCGTTTTTCATGCTCCCACTTCCCTACCTCAACCCCACTCCAACCCAACCCCATACCTGCAGTAGCAAATATGCTCATTCATTTAATGCTATTTCACTCCCAGGAAAAAGAACACATAGCAGCTGCCCCAAGGACCTAAGCAAATGAATGGAGACCTCACTTCTTGAAGATGTATGATTGGTTACTTCCCTCTGTGTGCCTTTTTCCCTGTCTGTAAACAACAGAGCTGATTTAGATCTGTAAGTGGCTTTCCCATTGTAGTCTGCATTTTGATAGTATGTGGAAGAGCCATCCCTTTTTGTTGGATTGATAGCTTTTCGTATTAGAAAAGACTGCAGATTGGAGTCATGCTTCTTGTTTTGAACCATAATGTTACCACTTATTTATTTAGCTTCTTTAACTCTCTTTTCCTCATCTAAAGGTAGAGATAATAACTGTATCTTCTGTATAGGCTTGTTTTACGTTTCAAATTAGATCCCTGAGTGGTACAAATGATTTGCACTCAGCTACTAACTGAAAGAAGCCCTGGTTGTGCAGTGGTTAAGACCCTGGCTGCTAACCAAAAGATCAGCAGTTCGAATCCACCAGCCACTCTTTGGAAACCCTATGGGGTAGTGCTACTCTGTCCTACAGGGTCACTATAAGTCGGAATCAACTCAACAGCAACTGATCTGGTTTTTTAAACTTTAAATTAGTTAATTCATATAAAGTCCTTTGTATTGTACTCAGTATTATGCTAAGAGTTTAATCAGTGTTAGTGATGAATAAGAAAGAAATGTTCTTGTAGTTTGTAGTTGGCAACTTGAAAAGCAGTTGTGTGAGTACAATGACCAGAAAGATTCACTTGAGTAGAATATCTTGAGATATGACTGTGAAAAGCAGAGGAAATGGAAGGAGTTCAGAGAAGTGGAGACAGCATCTCAGGGGAAGAACGGCAGAGGTGAATGGGGGTGTTTGCCCACACAGTTCCCCACACTGACTATTGGGGGCGCCATCAGTGGAGAGACGCTGGGCCAGCAGGGGCCCTGCTGAGCAGCCCTGTGAGACTCTGCCCCATCTGAGAGGCTGTCAGTTACTTGGATGCTTCTAAATAGAAGAGGGTTTCAATACTGAAAACGATACTTAAACATGGCTTAACCTAATTCAAATATAAAACTATTTTTTACAAGTTAGAGTAAATTATTTTTATCTGTTCTGTTGATGATTTTTAACATTACAAACGTCACCAGGCTAAGAGAA